CTGTGTACTGTAAATTACAGGTTCTCGGGTGTGGCGAGGTAATACTGTACAGTACAGTACAGTACTCAGTTTGGTTCTAGACCGTGATCAGATGTGCCCACAATACAGTATAGCCATAATCCTGCTTTATAGTCCTTTTTTATTCATTTCTTTTTACTTTAGGCAATACTGTACAGTACTGCAGCTGATCATTAGACGAGCGATAGAATACGGATGCATTTCTAGTATCTACTAAACGTTGGCTATCATTCTAAACTTTATTCAGGAATATCCATAACATTGTGATGGAGAATATTTCTATCCAGAAAATAGCTCTAGAGATTAAATTAAAACAGGTTAGGCAAATCCCCTTTCGAGAGCTATTGCTACGCCAGCTGATACAGCAACGCTATCTACGAATACCACAAATCTTAAATTTAACTAGAGTAAAATAGTATTATACAAAATGCTTATTCTCTCAGTAAATATCCTTTTGAAATTAGAGATAACTATAGTCAGTGCACAAGGTACAATAAAATCATTAACTGTAAATCGAGATCAAATTTGACGTTTGACAGTCAAGGAATATTTTAAAAATCTGATGATGAGATACTTTGACAATTCTCTCCTGTAATTAATCAGTATTAAGAAAAGAAAATTATATACTGTCACATTTTACTTTATCAAATCGCATGTATGAATAAGGTACTGTCCTTTTCACATAGGATTTGAATAGTTCCATTAGAAGACCAACTGCTACCATTTATTTACAGCGTTATGCATTGTAGCATACTGTAGTATTATTATGAGATAAAACGAATACATCCATGCTATATTTTATGTTTGTTTTATGTTGCTGTTAAGGTACAGTAAAATGTGATAGGTATATATTATGCAGATATATGATTTTCAGTCTGAGCGTTTTTAATGGTATAATCATTACATTATTTATACCTGACATCGTACTGTAATCAGGCCTGTAACAATGATATTGCTAACGGTGTCCCATCCTGGCTGCAATGAAATATTGTTATTCATAGTAATGCAATTTATGCTAGCCAAAACTAAAAATTTTAACTATATAATTCATAAGCTACTACAATCAGTTATCGGCTGGTGATCCACTGTAGGGATACTCCTACTTCCTAATTTTTAGGGAATCTGAATTACCTTTGGTGTACTGTATCGGAGTTTAACATTTCCATTTCCAAATTGATCAGATCACTAGGCATTATATTAC